CATACAGGTTGTTTAATTTAATTATTTTATATATCTGTTTCTCTTCTTTTACTGTTATGTTATTGTACTAATGTACCAATTGTGCAAAAAACGTTTTTCAGTAAAATGGCCTGGTGGTTACGGTGTGCGACTCACAGTTTGTGAGTTTCAGGTTCAAATCCCATCATTGAATATGCTCACTCTTTCAGCTATGCAGGTGCTATAGTGGGATGGTCAGTTGCACTTTTTGTTGTTAAACAGTAGCCCAAGAGTTGTTGGTGGGTGGTGTTAACACTAGCTGCCTTTCCTGTAGTCTGTCACTTCTAAATTAAGGATTGGTAGTGCAGACAACCCTCGAGTAGCTTTTTTTAATTGAACCTGCTCCTTGGCACTGACTTCACAGGTTGTCTTGTTAACTATTAACTATGACTTTTACCAGTTCATTTGCAGTACAGTTTTAAGCTTATGAACATGTAACGAGTGTAGAGAGAATAAAAGAAGAGACTGAAATATTTTTATAGCCAAAAATAATTGAACATGTTTGGTTTTCACATTTCTACACACATTCAGTGGTCACTGTATGCTGTATTAAAATAATTTTGTAGTCTCATCATATAATTAAAGTCCATTTTACCACATCTGGTCTTGCTCTGTATGTTGATTATGCATTTTTACAATAGGCCTGCAGCTTACTTTCCATTGCAGAAGGCTCTGTTGTTAGCCTGTCATGTCCGAATCACACCTCTCCTCCCTGCATGCTTTTCAGTATCCATTTCAACGGTTCAATCACATAAATATTCATAGATGCTGTGTCTAGCAACTTGACCAGTATGTTTTTGTATGGAATAGCATGATTACATGTTTCAGATTCCAGCTGCTTGAGGTATGTTATGGTTGAATGGGTGTTTTTTGGAAGTTAATTTGGTACACATGGCTTGTGTCACTTTTCTAGAAAGAAATTCTTTTTGATTATGTTGTATATCATTGCCTGAAATAATGGACAGTTTTTGCCACTGAGATTTATATTTGTGAATTCTTACCTGTTGCAAAACACTGTGCTTTGCTAGCCACTGCTATGAAACACTTTTTGCAAGTCTCATCCTGGATGGTCCAGGTTTCCCAAGTTGATCCATATTCCTTTTTTTTTTTTCAAATGGCATTGATTACAAGGGATATCTTTTTCTTAAATTCTGAATTCCCAATCTCAACACATTTCTATGAACTGGTGAATGGTCCAAAATCAGTCAAGTTTTGATGACATCACATTTTGATGTCAAAATCTAGTTTGATATATTTCTTTCCACCATGACTTTATATTGGCTACGGTTGTCATGTAACTTGCTGACTTTCATATTTGAAAATGTTTTAATATAACATACTCAACCCACTGTATATTCAATTTCTACTTATTTAACATAATAAGTTGTATCTAAGGAAGATTTTTGAATTCAGATAAAATAATTCAAGCTTATGTGATTTACATTCTTGTAGTTTCAATCCCAGTATGCAAAATCTGATTATTCTAAGAACTTGTGAGTGAAAGCAAACTATAAAAAGTGTTAAAAAAAAGTAGTGAAAGAAGTCAGAATGTCATTGATAAAACAAGGATATTTTTGACAGTTTAAAAATCCATATATATATATAAAACAGTGTGGTTTATCTGTGTGTGTGTCTCTGTCTGTCTGGAGTCACAAGTTTTGTTAGGAATTGGTTGAACCAATTTCAATAAAACATAGAGGAACTCTGGTGGACCTTCTAAGTATTATAGATAAATAAATTGACCAATAACTTAAATTTGGCAGCTATTTAAATATTTTCTGCCTTAATTCCATGAATGAGGGCTCAGGTTCTTAGCAAAATAAGTGAAGCCAGTGCCAAATGGAACTGATGCTAAATGTGTTGTGTGGGACAGATGGTTTACGTTCTATGGCTCAAAATAATGGGAGGGGATGGCCCACACCCCATTTATAAGGTTACTTTTTTAAGCCTAACATTTTTGTGTACCTCTGGTTGTCTAACTTAAAATAGCTACACAAATGGTTAACTGATGCTAAATGTGTTGTGTGGGACAGATGGTTTATGTTCTATGGCTCAAAATAATGGGAGGGGATGGCCCACACCCCTTGATAGCAATATAAAATGTTACATGAAACCTTGAGCACCATGACAGAGGAAATCACGTTTATTATTTTTTTTCATCTTCTACAACAGAAGGTGTTTATGTAATTCATTACCGTCCCATCCGCTACAACAGTTTAGTAGCGAGTAGCCTAAATCTTCATTTAGATAATATAAACATCGGAAATACCCCTATTACTTTTAATAACTTATTAAATTAATACAAAATCTTGACCTAGCTTAATGGTTTTTATTATAAGAAATGACCACACGTTTCTCACCTTGTACTTTTCAACTGACGTTCCGTAATCTCCAATCTTTACTGTCCAATCTGAAGTGAGCACGCAGTTCCGAGCAGCTAAGTCTCTACGGTACAAGAAACTTTATTTTAAATGTTAATCGTAACTCAGTTGTCTCCATATAATTTCTAATGATCAGTTGTGTAGCTATTTTAAGTTAGACAACCATTGGTATACAAAAATGTTAGGCTTAAAAAAGTAACCTTATAAATGGACCAAGGATAAGTAAAGCCAAGCCTAGGTTTAAATCTCTTTGAAACTGGTAATTTTTACCAAGAGGACCAAGGATAAGTAAAGCCAAGCCTAGGTTTAAATCTCTTTAAAATTGGTAATTTTTACCAGGAGGACCAAGGATAAGTAAAGTCAAGTCTAGGTTTAAATATCTTTAGAACTGGTAATTTTTACCAGGAGGACCAAGGATAAGTAAAGCCAAGTCTAGGTTTAAATTTCTCTAAAACTGGTAATTTTTACCAGGTGGACCAAGGATAAGTAAAGCCAAGTCTAGGTTTAAATTTCTTTAAAACTGGTACTTTTTACCAGGAGGACCAAGGATAAGTAAAGCCAAGTGTAGGTTTAAATCTCTTTAAAACTGGTAATTTTTACCAGGAGGACCAAGGATAAGTAAAGCCAAGCCTAGGTTTAAATCTCTTTAAAACTGGTAATTTTTACCAGGAGGACCAAGGATAAGTAAAGCCAAGTCTAGGTTTAAATCTCTTTAAAACTGGTAATTTTTACCAGTAGGACCAAGGATAAGTAAAGCCAAGCCTAGGTTTAAATCTCTTTAAAACTGGTAATTTTTTATGGTTGGAAATAAGCACTGTAAACCATAAATGTTTCAGTTTTGTATTCTAAAGATTTTATGTTAATTATAAAATCACACAAGACATTGAGGTTAAAATATTGAAAAACAAGGAAGCAGAAAAGTGTTATATTATTCTATTAAGTAGTGGAGTCTATTAATCTCAAACCCAGATGAATGGAACTGGAAATTAGTTTCCATCTGTTTCAGAAGGAACCCAGGCTTAGTTGATCTTGCATTTTTGAATATTGTAGGATGACTACTACTGCCTTGGTGATACAGCTATTCCTGTCCGATGGTGCTCACCAGAATCGTTACTGTGTACGGAAACCTCAATTAAAACAAAAGAATTGACGAAAGAAGCGAATATTTGGTGAGTTCCGTATTTTAACCATTTTTGGAAAGTCTGGATTGATGTGTATTAGTAAGTACTGTACCCTTTTTACCTTACCTTTGGAAAGTCTGAATAATGTGTATTGGTAAATACTGTACCCTTTTTACCTTACCTTCGGAAAGTCTGAATATTGTGTATTGGTAAATACTGTACCCTTTTTACCTTACCTTTGGAAAGTCTTGATAATGTGTATTAGTAAATACTGTACCCTTTTTAACTTACCTTTGGAAAGTCTGAATATTGTGTATTGGTAAATACTGTACCCTTTTTTACCTTACCTTTGGAAAGTCTGGATAATGTGTATTAGTAAATACTGTACCCTTTTTAACTTACCTTTGGAAAGTCTGAATAATGTGTATTGGTAAGTACTGTACCCTTTTTACCTTACCTTTGGAAAGTCTGAATAATGTGTATTAGTAAATACTGTACCCTTTTTAACTTACCTTTGGAAAGTCTGAATATTGTGTATTGGTAAGTACTGTACCCTTTTTACCTTACCTTTGGAAAGTCTGAATAATGTGTATTGGTAAATACTGTACCCTTTTTTACGTAATATTTTGAACAGTGATGACAGTATATGGTAAAAGTTTTTATTAATTACACCACCAGTAACAAACTTTTCTTTCAAATATTAGTGTTTTCAGAATGTTTTTAAAACTTACTCTTTTCTCTAAAAGTATTCAGTGTGAGTCGTGTGTAACATTTTTTGTGTTATTTGTTGGATGTAAATATTAGTATGTTTAAATGTGCAGTTTTAGTGATATTACAAGTGTCAGATATTTAGTAACACACACATCAGTCAGTTTTGGTTACTTAATATCTGACACTTGTAATATCACCAAAACTGACAGGTGTGTGTGTTACTTAATATCTGACACTTGTAATATCACCAAAACTGACAGATGTGTGTGTTACTTAATATCTGACACTTGTAATATCACCACACACACATCTGTCAGTTTTGGTGATATTACAAGTGTCAGATATTAGTAACACACACACACACACACACACCTGTCAGTTTTGGTGATATTACAAGTGTCGATATTAAGTAACACACACATCAGTCAGTTTTGGTGATGTTACAAGTGTAGGATATTAAGTAACACACACATCTGTCAGTTTTGGTGATATTACAAGTGTCAGATATTAAGTAACACACACACCTGTCAGTTTTGGTGATATTACAAGTGTCAGATATTAAGTAACACACACACCTGTCAGTTTTGGTGATATTACAAGTGTCAGATATTAAGTAACACACACACCTGTCAGTTTTGG